ACCTGGACGCCTACCCTGCCGCGCCGCCGACCCCGCAGCCGCCCCGCCCCCGCCCCCGCCCGCAGTCGGCGACCCACTGACACCCAGGCGGAAGTGCGGCCCGCAACTCGCCGAGCGACAGCCCGCTGCGCCACTCGCCGCGCCCCGCGCCGTTAGCGTCAGCCACTGTCTGTCCAATCAGTGCCCGGCCCGCAGGCCGCGCCGGGGGCGGGACTATGCTGAGCACGTCGGCAGGACAGCATCTCCCTCGGCCCCACCCATATGGAGGAGTGGCGGCACTCTCAACCAATCACAGCGTGAGGGGGCGGGGATATGCAGATATAACTCCTAGAAGGACAGGAAGGAAGGAGGAAGGGGCGTGGCCTCGGAAGAGGCTCGTTTACAAACAGTAAGTCAGGTGGCTGGGCGTGGACGATGGGGCGGGCGCGCTGCTAGACCCACCTCTAGCTCCCGACCCCCAGGGGTGTTTCCCATGGTTGCAAGGATCTGACAGAGGCCCATTGTCGCCTCCCGCCTTTGCGTGCCAGTCATCGCTTCACTGACAGCCCTCTACCTGCCTCCTGGCCGGCTCACCCAGTTTAACACCCCTCTGGCCTGCAGTGGCCACTGGGTAAACCCAGAACCTGGGGCCACACCTGCAGTTTCTGCTAGCTATGTGGTCTCAGGAAAGCTAACTCACTCGTGAGTCCGTGCGCACCCAGTTTCCTCTGCATCCGGGGCTCCCCTGCTCCTCAGCCCACTTAGGTAGTGGGTCTGGTTTGAGACCAGTGGAATGACATAACCAAGACCCTTCAAGCAGCACAGCCACTGGGGAAGATGAGCACGTGGCCCTGTCCCAGCCAGGATGTTCAGCCCTAGGATAATGTCAGACCAGAACGGACTAAAGTCAAATGTCTCTGGTCTTCTGCAGACCTCCTGAGAAGGAAGTTTGACAGAACGACTTGTCTGTAGATGATTGACAGAAAACAAAGGCAAAAAGGCAGCTAGAGAAGATGCCTTGGGGTCACCCAAAGCAAGCTGCACCTGACAAGATCTAGCCAAGACTTTCCAGTTACCTGAGCAACCACTTGCTTTTCTTGATAATCCAGTCTGAGGTAATGCCAAAGGGGTTCTGAGTCCCCTGAGCCACAAGATCATGTTACCCATGATCCCACAGCACATGCTGAAGGTTCCACTCAATTCTGCCTCAGCAGATCCTGTCCCAAGGCCACACTCCCTCCTCCAGTAAAGTGGTGCTCACACACAGGACACCATTAGCAGGACCAAGGGCACCTTGCAGTCAGGAGCAGGCCTTGGCAACCTTCTTGACCCCCCTCTTCAGATGCTTCTGCCTTGTACAAACATGCAGTGAGTGCATGGGCTTCTGTGGCAAGGTAGACCCTGGCTGCCTCTCTGGCTTGCATCCCAGGGACATCCTTGCTCAGTGGTGGCCCCTTGTCAGTAGCACTGGGGAGACGTGCTGGGACTGGAAAGGAGCCCCCTGCACACCCTGCTCCTGAAGAGAGAGACAGAGGGAGGCGGGGCCCAACCTCCGAAACAAAGACGTTGCCATGGTTACCTCTGAAGAAAGCGACTACAGCCGGCTGAGGGAAGGGTGCGGCAGCTGGCCCCCCAGCCAGGACAAGGACGACAGGCTGGTTGCCACGGAGATAGCCAGGCTGACCAGGCTCTGCAGTTTTCCTGGGGGCCCAGCTGAGGCCAGCTCAGGGTCCCCAGCGCCCACCACCCTCACCTAAATCTCCAAGGCTAACCCCTGTGCAAGGGACATGCCTCAGAGGGGTTCAACTTACTACCTGCCCCTTGACCCTGAGTTTCAGGGCCCTGGGCTCACGCAGGATGACCCCCCGGCCAGACTAGGCTTAGCTGTCTCACCCTAGCCATGGAGTAGGTGCCTCTGACCGCAGATGGTCCCTGGGGCTGGGATGGTGCGCTAACCATCTGTTCTCAAACTCACACTATAGCTGAGATTGGCTTTGAATTCTTGACCCTTCTGTTTTCACTTCCCGAGTATTGTGACGGCAAGCATGGGCCATCATTCCTGACATCTCTACCCCTTTTTAACATATTCCGTAGTGATCCAAGGGGCAACTGCCACCTTTCATACCTGGTTTCAGGTACAAGGCTAGGTGGGTGGGCATCCCTAAATCAGTGATGGGGTTCCTTGGGACCAACTTAGGGGTACCCTCATGATCTTCACTAGGTAGAGAAACCAATTCCTTAGGCAAAGTTCTCCGGGACTGGGTGGTAGGGTGTAGGTAAGGGCAGAAGTAACCTGGACACTGCCATGACAGTAAAGATGATGACAATGATTGCAGTAACACCCCCCCCCAAGTGTCCCATGATGTACATGCCCCATCTGGTTCTCCCCTTGCAACAGCCAGTCAAGGGGACAAGTCATCACTCCCACTTTCTAGATGTACAGACTGAGTCTCAACCCAGTTACGTGCCTGTTGGTGCCAAGGCACAGTGAGGTCTTGTGGGCCAACAGTCTGGCTAGGTCCAGACCCCACACTGGGACCTGCCCTGGATACAATACCCAAAGGTTTCTGTGGAGGCTATGGCTGCTAGCCACAGGTCCAGGCTCCATGACATCAAGGCCCCCTAGCAGCTACAGCTTTGAGTGCTCTCAACATCTGAGAAGTGCTGGCCCAGGGGACCAATTGGACTGTGTGCTCTCTGTGGAACTGCTCTGGGAATTAGCCAAGAGCACTCTCTATATTGAGACTCTATGAGGGGTTGCTGCCTCACCCCGACATGATGTGAATAAAGCATGTCTCCCAGTCACAAGCGCTGAATGGGGGGACATGACAGGGTGGATTCTGTGAGCCAAGTCAGCTCTAAGGGCTCAGGGTGGAGGGCAGGGGCTCCTTGACTGAATCCCCAGATCCTCCCTCTTCCTTTAGGCCAGAGAGTGCCCTTTCCATGGGCAGGCTATTTGCCTGTGGTTCTCATGACACACTCTTAGGCCTTTTTCAACCATAGCTGAGGTTATGGGTGGTCACAACCACATAGGAATATGTACCCCATCAGCTTGCTACCCATCCTCGCCCATGAAGGAGGCAGAACATATTCTTGTTCCCATTCAAGAGGGGAAATTGAAACTTGGAAAATGGCGGCTTGCCCAGGGCTAGGCTGCCCTTGACCCATTTCACTCTTACCTCTCTGCTGGGGCTCTATCTGCTCATCTCGGCCTGTTTGCAAGGCAACTGGGCCAGGGTGGGACATCCAGGATCTGGGGCGCCTTGGCATTGTGGCCCTACCTGGCCTCTGCTGATGCCAGCCTGAGGCCATCTCTACCCCACGCTCCTGGGTCCCTGGTAAAGCACACTTCCAACTTTCCTCCTGGGCATGCCATGGAATCTTCCGTAGGAACACGGACCCAGGCAGCCAGTGGGCAGCCTGGCCACGGAGGCCTGGCCCAGCTCACGTGGCTTGGCCGAGTCTTCCCAGCCAACTTTCAAGTCTCCTCTGCAACGTGACGATGCTGGCTTCCCTGTCGGAGAGGGAGGGTATTTTTAGGTTGAACCCGCCTTGTGAAGAGACAAGTTATCAATAGCAGCAGTAAAGGGCTTTTCTTATTCTTTTTCCCCCTATGACTTTGCGACGTGAACAAACTGCACTTATTAAACCCTGCCGAAAGCAGGAAAAGTGGGCTTCCCCTGATAAACTTTTCACCCCACAGCTTCCTCTTGCTGTTGCAAGTCCAAGTCATCCCAGACTAACCCCACCCTGCCTCTTCAGAGAAGGTAACCTACCAACTTGCCCAGTGACAGGTAACAGGTCCGGCAGATAGTGAGGGTGGGGCTCAGAACTAGCTGGAACAAGGAGCCAGTGGTCATGGGGAGGGAGGCCCTGACATCAACTTCCACAGAGTGGCTATGGGTACTCTTCAACCATGCCAACTGCTCGAGTGTTTTCTGAATGCTCACTGTGTGCCCAGCAGGAGGCTGAGCACACTGTATCAGCTAAATACCCAACCGCCCATGAGAAGTGATCAGGAGACTCCAGGAGTCTACCTCCAAGGGTCCTGAGCCCTCCCTGGCCACTATCTTGTATTTCTAGAAAGGAGGGTGCCTTGGTCAAGCTGGTTTGGGAAAACTGTTTAAGGCTGTCAGGCATCCTCCTCCCCCACAAGGATGCCAGAGTCCTTCCCAGCAGAGTGTGCAGAAGGCCCCTTGTACAGAGGGCCCAGTACAAACCCAGCTTTCGTGGGGACTGAGAGCTTCTTACAGGACACTAAAATTGCACCCTGCCTTGCTGAAGGAAGTATTTGAGCCAACTTGGCTGCCTGCCCTTCAAGATTAGTTGGCACTCCATTTCTGAGGAAGCCCAGAATAACAAAGCCTTCAACAAAATAGAAATGTGCTTGTCTCCCATGTGACACGCGCCCAAACTGCCCAGTCTGGCAGGGGACTCTGCGTCATCAGGAACCCAGCTCCTGCCTTACTGTACCTCTCTGCTAGTGCTGACTTCCAGTCTCAGTGTCACTTCATGGCCCGAAACAGCGGCTGATGCGCTAGCCATCACATCCATGTCTAACCAGAACAGAAGAAGGAAGAAAAGAAAGGCAGTAATGCTACCTTCCCAGATGAATTCATTCAGCTCCTTTTGAGGCTCTGTCCCTGGAAATGGGGGACGCTAGGCCACCCAGCCTGTGGGTCCTCTTCCCAGGTGTATCCTGGCTGATGGAAAGTGGGTTCTCATCTCCCCTCCCAGAACCTACTTTTCTGTTCACATCTCACTGCCTAGAACTTCACCTCATGTACTCTGTACAAGGGTGCTACCAGCCTAAATAAAACAGGCTAAGAGGAGGCTACGCAGCCACTTGTCAGAGAGGCCTAGCCGCTGGCCTCACCTATCGGAGACTGTGACATCCCTAGAGCCCAGTGGCTGGGCCTGCCTCCAGGCGCTGGTCTTCTGGGGGCCCATAACCCTGCAACTCTCTGGCAGCAACCCTGAGTGTCCTGCATCAGTCAGGCCTGGGCTCATGATAGTTGAGGTTAGGGTATCTTTGGACAGGTACCTGATGAGCTCTAGATCACAGTCCCTGTGTTTTTGCCATGTGTGGCCTGTGCTGTCCCTTTGTGCCCAGCATGGCAT